AAAGTACAGGGGGGCTAGTCACACGAAGTTCCCACTTTTGGGGCCTGGACACATTTTTCCCTAGTTTTTTACTAGCCAAAATTGGCATTTCAATACATTAGCAAATAACAATCCATTTTACGAAGAAATTTAATTCTTGAAATTTTGTTGAAACACATAATTTTGAACAAGTGTTTGATAACCTTCAAAAATGGGGCTAGGGTTGAATATTGTCCCATTTTGAGAGGAATTTTGTTTGGATAAAACTGACCGAGATTTATCTAGGCTAAAAATGCTAATTAAACTGGTTCTTTTTTTTTTAATCCATAAGGAAGGGTTGGATAAAAAAACTATTTTTTTTTAAACTAGACGAAATTCTGTCCCGACTCATTTTTAAAAAGGCTGCCAAACACACATTATTCTTGAATTTCATGCTTATCTCCCACACAAACACACTCTAACTCCAATTCAATGAAAATGACCCATCACTTATAAAATGAGAGAGTAATCCTCAATATTCCATGGTTGCTCTCCTCGTTGCTTCTAAGCTTGACACGCAAGAGCAACACCGTACCTAAGGACAAAAATCTTTAAGCATTTCAAACCATCCATGGCATTTGATGAAACTTGGAAGAATAAAGCATCTAGTGATTGATTGATTGATGATATATAATAGTTGGATATTTATGTGTTATAAAAAAAATAGTTGGATAATGATGTGAAGTTTGTTAGTCTAAAGTGTAGACCCAAAGTTGAGACGAGAGCTGGAATCAAAACGACGAAGAAAACGACCTGACAGATCCACGGTCGACCGCGACGGTCGACCGCGAACATGCACAAGGCTGAGAAGAGACTGGGTCTGATCGCGGTCGACCGCTCAACTCTCTGGAATCTGAGGAGCTTCTGTCGTCTGATCGCGGTCGACCGCTCAACTCTCTGGAATTTGCGCGGTTGGCCGCCACGGTCGACCGCGACGCAGTCAAACAGTTTCCTAAACTGTTTTGAATTCTGTTTCTACCAGGACTCTATATATACCCCAAACGTTTTTAGGGTTTGCAAGACACGAAAAAAGAGAGCTTTTTGATTGAAGAGAGAGAGAGAGAGAGAGAGAGAAAGAGAATCTCAGAGAGATTAAACCCTAGTTTGAGAGCTTGTATTTCTTCTTCAATTAATAAAAGAATTGTATGGTGTGGCTCCCGAGGACGTAGACACGTTGCCGAACCTCGTTAAATCTGTGTGTTCGTCTCTTTTACTATTTTTGCAAGGTTAGATCTTTATTTGTGGTATTTTCCTACTTTCCTACTTTCAACACAAGGTCCAGAAGGGCAAGGATCCGATTGATTGCTTCGGATTCCCCAACAAAGCTGACCAATCATCCCTAAATAAAATTCTCAAAATAATCCATAACACTCTTTAAAATGCTAAAGTTTCTCATTAAAATACACTGGAATTATGGATAAAGACTTTGCTAGTTAACTGAGAGCAAAAATAAAAAATAAAAAAAATCACATAATAAAATTTAGCCATAATCTAGATGAATTGAAAATATAAAGACTTAATCATAACTTAACACGCGATAATACAACCCTTAATAAGAAATTAATGGAAGAATCGAAGTAATATTACTAAGACCAAGCAATTATGATAAAGGCTTTGTTATTTGTTATTCACAAAGTTCTATCCGGAGCAAAACAAACAAATATCTGCTAGTATCTTGTAAAATGAAATGATTAAGGTGAGATGTAACAAGGAGGATGGTGATGGCAAAAGACTCTCAATTCATGGTATAGCACAAATCGATCAATGGAAATGTGACATGATAACTTTGGTGATGGCAACCCTTAGCCAAACATTTACTTACACAATTCATAATAGTAGCAAAGAGATTGTGACCTGAAAATAGACTTGAGTAGCTGGACTTAAAAGTGCTACATAAAGGGGGAAAAAGAGACAAGGACACATGGACAATTGCTTTATATATTATCAGATAGTTGATATGGATGTAATTGATACAAGAAGGCTTTTTGCGAGGAAAGGAAACTTTTGTGAATATGAAAGGGATCAGCTGAGTAATTTTCACTCAAAAACAATTATAAAGAATAAATCAAATTGAGCATGAGAAAGTGAGTACTGCACCAGACTCACAAGACATTTGCACAGATTGAATGATCTTTGATAATTGACATAAACTGAAGTGGGAACCGATAAGTTGCATCTTTATATCTTAGGATTTCCATCATAACATGCTTCAGAGAGCAACTAACAAGATGAACAAGAGTAGAGAAGGAATAAAGAACTCTAAATTTCATCCTATATCCATATGTATTTAGGAACAATATAGATTCACTCTCCGTGGACTTCACCTTAAGAATGTGCAGGGTTGAGCTTTTGTTCACCATTTATTGGCTGAATATATCACATCTCTTCTCCTTAATCTCAAACCTCAAGTTCTTTCATGGGAGCAATTGAAGAGTTCTGTTCTTGCGGAGTATCATATTGCCTGGAAAATGTAAATCAACTCTTTGTAATCTCGGGACCATTTGCTCCTTAATCTCTCAAATTTCTAACACATGCAGCAGAAACCCCCCTTATCTGCCGCGTATTATAAGAACTGCAGCCTGGACATTTATGAGCAACAGTGTGGAAATGGACATTTGATTCAGTACCACAATCATTGCAAAGAATCCAAACCTGAAATATCAAAAGGTAAAGAAATCAATAATTTAAAATGTCCCTTCAAAAAAATCTAAAATATCGATTACCTAAGCAATATAGCTAGCTAATTCACCGTTTGATCTTTCTTACCATCTTGTTCCTGTACATTACAGGCATTGGTGTTGAAGCAACCTGCAGTTTGATTAGGCAATAGATTAATATTGGTCACATTTAAATAGCTTGTGTAAGTCAAAGATGATTTAATTACCATGATTTAACTACCTCCTTATCTAGTTTTTCCCATACGCTAGACATGTCGCATATTGATTTAGAGCAAAGAGGGCATGAGAGTCTGAAAAATAGGAAGACATTAGTATCTCTAATTAATGAAATTGAGCATAAATTTGAGATTGATATATCTTTATTTATATAAATAGCTTACAGAAAATGCTGCTCCATTTCCCTCAAACATTCTAAATGTATTGTATGGCCGCATGGCAGAACGCTGATGTCTCTCGTCGAATCAAAAAGAAACTGATAAATGCAAAGAGAAACTGATATTAGAATTTCAATATTAGAAGCAAGGATCGTCCAAAATAGATAAGTGATTCATTTTTATTTTTATTGTTACTTTTTTATTCTAAACTAACTTCATAGGCAACTGATGACAGAATAACTTAACATAGATGAGCTTACTTCGAAACAAATAGGGCAGTTGTGGTGCATTGCTCTTTCTACACATTGGTGAGAATCCTTAAGGATTTGGCTATAGCAACATCCTAAATAAATATCAAATATCACACAGATAAGTATCATCAGATATACTGGGAAAAAAAACTTCATTAAGAAATTAGTGTAACAGAGTGCAGAGAAATTGGCATACCACAACGATCACAATGAAAGAAGTTCTCCTTTCCTCCAGTTCTGTAATAAAATTAACACAATGACTCAGGATCAAGAAAACAATATAAATAATAAGAAGAAAAATGTGCATATATTTAGACAAAAAAATACACACCTGCAGATTCCACATCCATCACAATGATACTGATTTTTTGATACCTGGATAAAAGAAAATTAAGCATATTTACCATGAAAATGATTTCAATTATAAAGATGCATTTTAAGATTGTTGTTTCTTACATCATCGTCAAAAAAATTGCATTTTTCACAGAAGTATTTTCCCATGCCCACAATTGAGCAATTCTGCCTGACCTGCCGTAATATACAAAAACAACATATGTAACCCATTTCAGTTTTAGATAGAAAATAAAATAACAACATTAATTTTAACTAATTTAATTATACTCGAGTCTTAAAACTCACATTTTGTTCGGTGTCACATAGAGTACAGATAACCTGGGAATTTCAAAACAGAACATTAATTAAAAACAAGAAAGATAAATAAATAAATAAATCTATATCTATACTACTTATAAAAGAGAATACCCATGTCAAAACTTTTGATTTCCTTTTTTACCCTCTCAATTTTTTATAACTCAAAATTATACCATTATTTATAAAACTAATGATCCATAACCTCTCATTAACTATGCACCTCTTCATTTTCTCAAATTATTTGGTCTCACTAGAATATATTAATAATTTATAATGATAACAAAATTCGTGAATATATGATACTTTATTATAAATAATTATTAATTATATAAGTAAAAGTCATTCATTTAATAAATTATTGCACATAATTATAATTATTAATAATAGTATAAATAGGGGTTATTTCTTTATGTTGCAAAGAATATTACCTTGTTTGATAATTAATATCATCTTAGTAATAAAAATTTGGATGTTATAAATTAAAAATTCTTTTATTTTGGAAAATTAATTTATATTAAAAATTTTGGATCCTTGAAATTTATGAGACATGTATTTTTCTCTTCTTTTTCTCAAAATATTTGGTCACTCGCTAGAATAATTTAATATGATAATAAAAATATATTATAATTTGTTGTAAAAGAATTATTAATTGTAATGAAATAGTAAAATTATTTAGTTAATAAAATGTTGTGTGATTATAATTATTAATAATATTATATATTAGGATTATTTTTTATATTATAAAGATTTATTACCCTTTTTGATATTATAATATCGTCTTAGCAATAAAAATTGGACATTATGAATTAAAAATATTTTTATTTAGGAAAATCACTTTATATAAAAACATTGGATCTTTAAAATTTATGAGTCATGCACTTTTTGTTGGCCAGTAAATGTCTCATAAATTTCAAGGGTCCAATATTTTTATATAAAATATTTTTTCTAAATAATAGTATTTTTAATTTATACCAACTAATTTTTTATTACTAAGAGAATATTAAATATTGAACAATGTAATATTCTTTACAACATAAAGTCATATAACATTAATAATTATTGCCATTATTTAATAGATATTGTAATAAAATTTGTACATAACATAAATATTTAATAATTTAAATGGTTTAATTATATCAATAGTGTTACTTAAACTAACGATTACATTATTATTTAATAATTATACTCCTAAATAAATTGTTTAATAATATAATAATAAACAAATTTAAATAACTATTAAATGTATGTTAATAGTAGTACAAGTACTAATAATAGTATAAGTTAATTTTTTAAATCATAGTGCAATAAAATAACTTTTAATGGTTATATATAATTTATTAAATAATATAATATTAAATACAATAACAGGTCCACGTGCAAAGCACGCGTATTATACTAGTAAAATGCTAGTAAAAGAAAAAGACAAGATTCCCTATTTGGGGCAAAAACTTAAGTAATCTTATCCAAAATCATGGAGACTTCCCTTTTCAAACTCCAATAAATTGTCCGATTTAAAAAGAGAAAAGATTGGTTCTTTCTCAAAAAAAATTTAAATAAAAAAGAAGAATAATAAGAAGAAAAATATTCTGACCTTCTTCACATCATGGCGAGGAATCTCATGCCGCTCCACTTGATCAACATCCAGACAATTCTGCTGAAACCCATTAAACAAAATGAATTCTCATCAACAAATTTCAACAAAAGATCAAATTTTGCGCCCGAAAAAAAAAAGTAAGAGCAACAAAAATCCCACCTTAGCCTCGTTATGGCAATGCCTGCAATAAAAGATCTCATTACAGCAAGGTGCCCTTATCCTGCACCTCCTCTTATAATGCGCACATCTACCAACCCAAAATCATATTATCGTCAATCAATTAATCATGTACATAATAATTACCCCATCGAGAACTATCTCAATAAACAAAAGAAAGCAAAGTAGGGAGATACCCAAATTGGTCATTTCCCAAATCAACGGAGCTCTTCTCTTGTACGGAGCTGGGCATAGATTTAACCTCCATAGTCTTCAGTTGAGAGAGAGAGAGGAGCGAAAGCAAAGATGCTGGGGAAGAGAAAAAAGAGGCGAGTCTTTTTTATATTGGAGGAGGAATGGGGGTGGCGGGGCCCGCTGCTAGTGGACTTACTGGAGCTTATCGGGTTTGACCCGCTAGGTTTTCGGTCTCTTCGGCGATTTTTATTCGTCGCCCGCGGTTTTGATCGAGGGGTAGAAGCATCACGTGATTGGTCCATTTCTTTGTTGATGGGCTGTGACATACGGGTCGGGTTGGATCGAAGATCGGTTTGGGATCCGTTATTACACATATTGTAGTATCAAGGTTTGGGCATGTGAACTATGGGGCATGAGCTCTTGTTTGCACAAAACTACTACCTATTTTTCTCTCATAACTTGGAAAATAAAAAAGGAGAGAGAGAAAGCGCACGCACGCGTTCTTGGTTCAAACTCAATGAAGGACTTAAGACTTAAGAGTACAACCTTAGATGGAAAATTTTATGAAAGTTCACAATGAGCATTTGTTCTCATCACATGCATGTTCGCTCTTGTCTCCGTATCTCTAACGAATCCAATTTGGCATATAAACTTCACAGTAAAGGGCTGTTTGGAAAGAGGTTTTTTTAGGGAGAAAGGGCTAGAAAACCTGCCAAAAGCCTGTCAAAAGTGCAGCTTTTGGCAGGCTTTCCACCCAAATCGCCTCTAAAAAGAGGCGATTTGGGTGGAAAGCCTGCC